CACTACCTATTACTGGAATAAGATATACATCTCGTATAGGAGCGTGTGTGTCAAAAAATTCAGCATCAGCGACTACAATAACTTGTAGTTTTAACCATTATTATGTAGTACATGCTGAAGCTGATGTTGGTAAGTTGATCTACATTCATTATAAATAAAATCATTTGATCTAACCAGTTGTAGTTGACTGTGGTACTCCACCATTAGTTCTTAATGCAGCATATTCTAAATTGGATAATGATACACAGTATGGAGCTAGAGTTCAATACAACTGTAGTACTGGATATAATATTAATGGAAATGATACTATATCATGTCTACTGAATGCATCATGGTCTTTACCAACTCCATCTTGTTCATTAGTAGACTGTGGTAATCCTGGTGAACCAGCTAATGGATATACTAATAATAATGTATTCACTTATCAGTCTACAGTACAGTATCATTGTAATGAAGGATATCAATTATCTGGTGACTCATCTATTGAATGTACTGCTACTGGTCAATGGAGTAATAACATTCCCCTTTGCATAGGTAAGCACTAAGCAAGGTCACATCAAGAGTCACATGCATAGAGCAGGATATTAGACATTTTATATGCTGTTACTAATAATATTCGTGTCCATTAATATCACTAGATCTATCCTTTACCATAAATAATATCAATGTTTTTAATAGCTTCAACATTATCACAAACAAGCACAAGTTCTACTGTCATGCCCACCACTCCTGTTGAAGATAGTAATACTTCCTTAGTAGTTATTGGTGGAGTCATTGGTGCAGTGTTGTTTATTTTAATAATACTAATAGTTGCTATTCTGTTGATAGTTTTATTAGTAGCAAGATCAAAAAGGAACTCTCGTCACCTGAATACTACAAATCTTACAAATCCAATAAGTAAGAAATTATATTTAATTTAGATTTTTATAGTTTTTTTGAACGTATATAATTCAATGCCAAATGATTCAGTAGCTGCTCCATCTGAAGAACATCCAACTTCGGACTATGATGATCCTGCTTTAACTTTGAGGTATGAGTCAGTACCACTACTGTACTCTGAATTAGAATCTTTGGAAACTGAGGTGTTCTTTATAAAATTTGAATTGTGTTATTATTGATCATTAATAGGATGACAGCAAGTATTCAACTGAGGAAATATATGACAATGAGAATATTGCCAATGTGGTCCTACCTCCTTCAATTTATTTAGATGTACATGTATCTAATAAAAAAGATTTAATTTAATTTGAAATTTATAGGCTGATAACGACACTTCATTGTATTTCATACAAGAGGCTGAGGACAAAGATAAAGAAGCTGGAGAGAATATGTATCCAGAAATACAGCAATGCTACTCTGATACAATAAACACTGCTTTATAATATAATCTATGTCAATTTATGTGGGCTGAATGCATCTAATATCTATAATAGATCTAATTATCAAGAGTGGATAATTTTTCACTCTTGTAGTCTATGATATCAAAATTGATCTAGATCTATGAATTTAATAGAGCGGTTTCATATGACGTCACTGCAACCGCTCTATTTAAACACGCCCATCTAATAGAGTAGCTAATCACAAATCTAGCCATATCTTTTTTTTATAGTATCGTATGCAACTAGATATGTGTCCTTTGTGCCTTCTTCTGCTTTTTGCCTTCTTGACTAGTAAGAGATTAAATTTGCTTATTGTATCTTATTTCTGTTAGGTACACTGCAAGCTTGTAACGTAGGAGATGATTATGAGGCTCAGAATGGACCCGTGAATAATAACATTGGAGGGAAGTGGTATCTCAATGTTGCTGTACCTGCAACATGTTCGGGGTCAATAGAAAGCTATCAAGTCCAATTTTATGATGACGACTTTAAGAGTGGGAGAACTTATGGTGTTACTCTGTCTGTATGGAGGCCAATAGCAAACAATCCAACAAGTTATGAAAAAGTGAGTAGTCTAGTCTATTTCTTGCCATTGATGTATTGATTTTAGGATTCATTAACAATACAGCAGTACCAGTATCAACATACTAATAGTAAGCATAAGAATAATAAGACCCTCCTGATAGTGATACTGTTAATTTGTAGAAAGGCGTAGGAAAAGAGCCATAATAGCAAGTTCAACTCCTACATTTAGTTCAGCAGTTGGTGTGCGTAGAGGAAGTGTTATAGGAGTATATCTAAGTAATCCTAATCCACTAGAAGTCATTGGAGACAGGCCAGATGGTAGTGATATCAATGGTGTGCCTGTTGGTGTTTGTGTTACAACAGCATCAGCTAGTACTTCAACGCTTACTTGTACTGGAAGCAACCAACCTAGTTATGTGATGCATGCTGAAGCTAATATTAGTAAGTCAAAGAAAGTTGTATTAAATATAATTATAACAATTAATTTTATTTCAGGTGTAGTTGACTGTGGTGCTCCACCATCAGTTCTTAATGCTACACACTCTCAATTGGATGGTGATACAGAGTATGGAGCTAGAGTTCAATATAACTGTGATACTGGATATAATATTAATGGAAATGATATTATATCATGTCTACTGAATGCATCATGGTTTTTACCAACTCCATCTTGTTCATTAGTAGACTGTGGTAATCCTGGTGAACCAGCTAATGGATATACTAATGATAATGTGTTCACTTATCAGTCTACAGTACAGTATCATTGTAATGAAGGATATCAACTATCAGGTGACTCATCCATTGAATGTACATCTAATGGTAATTGGAACAATACACTACCAAACTGTGTAATAATTAATTGTACTGATCCTGGTATACCCACCAATGGAGAAAGGACTGGAGTGGATATCTATTACAATTCAACAGTTTCTTACAGTTGCAATACTGGATACAATTCAACAGGAGCTGCCGCTATTACTTGCTTAGCTACAGGCCTGTGGAGTGCACCAGTACCTTCCTGTC